CAGGCAAAAAAAGCGGAGTGACAGCTTTGATCAGGCAGAAGGCCCCAAATGTAGTGGCAACACACTGCATGCTCCATCGAGAGGCACTTGTACACATCATTTAAAAAAAAAAATTGCAACAGGGGGGTCCCCGCCAGAGGATAATGCTATATGGGGGTCCTTGGCATGGCAAAGTTTGGGAACCCTGCTATAGGTAATACACTAACTGTATATTAGAAAGTACCTCACACAACTCAACACTTCAAAATATCCCTTCGTGCAAGGTACAAAAAGAACATTCTGGTTTAGTTGACAAGCCTTGAAAGAAGCTTCTCTTATCATACAATCAAACATAATTTTGAGCATTGTTTGTTTGGGGAGGGGGACAAGAAGAAGGCACACAGAGGTGCTTTCAATGTCCAGCGATAACTCAAGAAATGATTTTAGTTTTATAGACTGAGTCCTTCTTCTGGCAGCTTTCCAGGCCCTATCTGTGCTTCCACCCTGAGTTCCTCTTCAGAGCCAGTATCCAGGCAGGGAGAGCATGTCGTCGTGCGGGTGCCTCCTCCTCTGCTGCTGCTGCCGGCTCCTCCTCACACTCCTGGTCGGTCACAGAGTCTTCCTCGGCTCCTGAATCCTCCTCGGAGTTTGAAGCGTCCAGGCCCCTTTCCGGGGGCTCGATGGTCACAACCTCCTCTGAGAAACGAACCCGTCTGTTTTCCTCGACTCGCCTCTGATCAATAGAATAGGGGAAAAGGAAGTATGAACACAAATGTGTAAAGAAAGAAGTAGTTGGATAACATTTCATATTCACTTTTAAGGTAAAGTTAGCTCTAATAGTTTCAATAAAAAACGTGTAATATAAGAAGATTTGCAGCAGTGTTAAGTAGGTACATTGTAAATGAATAAATAAAGAGTTATTGTCTCAATTCAGGTAAGCTACACATTAAAAAAAGTTATACATGTCTAAAGGCAAACAGTGAGTGGGTGGGTTTAATTAGGGATAATTTCTTTAAAAAAAACGAATTATTTCCTTTTTATTTTACAAAAGTATATTGTTCTTTGCAAGACACGTCTTGGATAATGATTATTTTTAAATCAGAAAGTACTACTGAGCTGTTGCCAACGTAAAAGAACAATTCATCTATAAATACTTGCTGTTTCACAGACAAAGATATATGAACATGTCTATGAAGTGTCCTATAGCGTTATGTATCAACAAAGCTTTTCCAAAAGAAATCTTTAAGATCAACAGTCCATGACCTCTTCAATTTCATCCAGCTTCAAAATATGAAAACTCACAGTACCTACACTTCTTACTATCAAGTAAAAATGTATATATATTATACTGTTTTCTGAGGTTAACTTATAATAAAAATAAATCAACATACAATCACCATGCAAAGGCAATCAAACTACAACTTTGTCTCTTTGTAATTTAACAAAAGAAACAACAACATAATATCCCAAATACTTTTATTTTATTTTATTACTGGTGTTTTCCAGCTCTCAGCAGATTCTCAATTTGCTTTGTGCAATGCATTGTGGGAGAACAGCACACTAAAAGCTGTATTTTTAAATCAACACAGTGACTATTTTGAGTGTACTATTATATCACAGTCCATAATCAAGCCTGCTTAGATGTATGATGTATTCTTCACCACAGGGAGGCAGTGTGATACACAATCACTATTTTCACTTACCCTTTTTGTCAGCGTTTCTGTTGATTGTGAATCCTGGGATATTGAGTGTTTGAGAACACCGCGGGGCGCAGGAGCAAAAGGAGTAAACGGAGAGAGAGGTGGAGCAGGAGACTTCATGGTGTGTAAAGGGCAAGGCATCATGTTGACATCATGTTGGAACTCTCCCGTCTCCTCCATCACGTGGCTGCTTGTGAGGCTTCCCTCTGTGCGATGATAGACAAGAAGATAATTGAGTTTCCAACTTCTTAAAAACAGAAATTCAGCTACAACTGACAACATCTAACCTCTTTCAACTCAAAACAGTGAACAGTTGCTCTGACCTTTGCCCGTCATATTTCCATCACGTCTATTCTCTGTTTGAAACCTGTCATTTCCTATTTCTGTCGACTGGTGCTGTCTCTTTCTGTTGAGGTGGGCTCTGATCTTCTGTGCTGAGTTGTCTGTAATATCTGCAGCCTGCAAATAAAAACCACAGGTTGAACGACTAACATGGGAAAGTAAAACTCTTCAAAGTTTAGGAATTTAGCTTATTGGTGTTTTAATCCAGGTTTCATTAAGAAACAAATGTGCAATCAAATGATTAAAAACAGCTAAATATGCATTATAATATATACCAAACCTCTAAAAACGCAGCAGGTCCACGGGTTTGTCCATATTCCATTGGTATTAGTTGATCAGGTGCACTGTGGAACTCCCGTGCTGCAGGCTGTTTTTCCTCTGAAACGTCCATGCTGACTGGGTGGGAAGCGTCAGGTGATATTTGTGCCATGCTGAAATCTGAACCTGGTGATGTCTCAGTTCCCTGGAAGCTCCACGGGTTGTTCACTCCCCCTTGTTGGTTCAAAATCAGAGTCGATTGACCATTATCATGAGAATTTGATAGGATTTTGAGTTCTGCTGGTCTCTTATTGGTCGAGGCTGCTGATTGGCTGGGGTTTAGGAACTTGGCCCACTCTTGACCCGTAACAATTTCGTCCAGCAAGCTAAAGGAGCCCAGGCCAAACTCAAAGTCTCTGTTCGACCTGGAATAAGAGAAGAGATCTGGTCAATTAGATCCTGCACATGCATCTACCTCAGACTCCAAATCAGGAATTACCATCTAATCAATCCCACCAATGTATCAACCAATGACAAGTGTGTAATGTGCAGGTTATGAAATAATCAAACCAAACCACTCTGCCATATAAAATAGTCCCAAACAGATGCTCTATCTATTTAATCCGTTTTAAGTAAGGTTTCCTAAAAATCTACAATGTCCAGACAAAAATGAATGAGTCCTTTAAAATAATAAACTATGTTTTATCTTTGCATCCCAAGCCTGACAAAGCTTTTTTCCTCTGTGTCATAAACCCTTATGGTTTAATTGTTTAATCTAGCCCCACTGTTGCACTGCCGACATGTTTCTTCTTTAGAATAAACATTGGGACTGTGCTTTGTTTATAGACAATCCAACATACAACATAAAGCTGCTGTAAATACTCAATAGTGTACAACATGTGTTTTAATCAACGGCTGAAAATAGTCACAAAAAATAAACTATGCATTTGTGACTACAGTTTAAAGATGTATGTCTTGAGTTGGAATGAAAGGCCTTGGTGCACCATGGAGCAAAACAGACAGGGTAGGAAAAAAGACATATTGAAAGGCCGACAACAGCAAGAAAAACACAGAACAACTCCGGTCTCATCATTTATCCACTGTCAAGAACCATCAGGAGATTGAGAAAGTCTGTGTGTATGTAAACATTGATCTGTTTCATGATGTTTCTTTTTGAGGTGTTATGAACAAGACAAGAGATTTATCGCATCACGAGAGTGATCGAAGTGGCTGATGACTGATGTTGTCAGTGACAGAGGTGTGTTTGGCACATCACACAATACATATCTCCCCAAACTAATATAACTTCTATGTTTGGAAACGTCTCAAGAATACCTTACATATCTTACTAGTGTCGTAGCAGAGACAAATAAATAAAACCTGACCTTGAAAACGTTTGCCTGTGTCATGCTATCTTCAGTACTGGTTGCAGTGTATTTATTCTAGATGTTGAGTACAGTTTGTTGGTAGATTACCTCATATATTCTTCGTCTTCTGTGTATGTGGGAGGGGGGTTACTTGGATCTCTGCTGTCAAATGGAAAGAGGGTCCTTTCTTCCTCCTTATTTGAAGGGGTGAGATGTACTGCTTTCGGCAGCTGGCTTTGAGGTGAAATCTGTGAAGTAAACAGCTGCAGTTTCACTTTTTAGTTCATAGATTTGAATTTAGAAATAAGAAAATATCAAAATGCTCTACTCACTTCAGTTCCTTCCTCACTATGCAAGTCTACTCTCACTCCTCCTTTTCCCTTTCTGCCAAAACTCCCCGACCGGACCCATTTCTCCTTGATCTTCTGAGTCCATCTCCTCGTTTTATTCTCCGATAATCGAGGTGTCCTTCTCGAGCTGCTGTTTAGCGGCACAATCTGCAAGTCTTTACTTTGTGCCAAATCTCCTAATCCTCCATTTCCTGTATGCAGCACTTCATTCTCTTGACTTTTAACATCTGCATCTGTTGGCTTCGAAGACCAGACATAAACTTTGGCTTTAAAACTCTGGTCCTGGTTTTGATTCTGTCCCATGCTGGTGAAAGCATCTATATTACTAGGCATTGTCGCTGCAAAACTACCCTCCCACGGCCCGTCAGTCCTCTCAAAGGAAGCGATATCAGCATCCTTAAGTGATCCAGCAGGAAACAGCTGTCCTGTTCCTGTCGGGGTAACCGCAGGCTGACTGTCCTCACCATCAATGTTATCTTTTTGGGAGGGTAAGGAAATGAGAACACTGTCCACTGCACAGCCATGACCTGGACTCTGTATTTCACCTTTGAATCCAAAGTGACTGCCTGCAGCAGAGTTCCCACAATCCTTTGAGGGGATACCATTGGGACTGAACCGAAAGCCATTTCCAGGACTGCTGTTCACTTTCTGGAGGTTGAAGGCTCCCCTCTCTCCATCTTGCCCCCATGATGAAGCAGCTGTGGTGGGTACAGGTGTGTGCAGGTATGCCTGGCCCTCTTTTCCCGGCTGGAGCTTCAGTTTCTGCAGCATGGACTGCAGCAGGGCCTGACTGTCTTTGGGATTAGGTGACTGAGACATCTAGAAACAGAACTGATGTGCATCAAATCCAGAAATCCCCCCAAAGTATCTCAACAATGAGTGCATGTTATCACAACAATATAGTCCACTAAACGCATGGATTCCACAGTCTTATGTAATGTGTTCAATAACAGACTGAAGATCATGACATAAGAGGTTAGCTGTGTGTGAATCACGTCACCTCCTGAGATTTGGTTGTTTCTCTGTTTTTTTATAATCCAATCTTTTTTATAATCTTCTTTCTCAGTCCAAAATTCAAGATAGGTCCATCCCTTACGGTTCAGCTTCCTCAGCTAGGTTAGGAATTCATCTTTTTCTCTGCGGCTGCTTCTCCTCATGGACGTTTCACTGTCATACTGTATCCACTCCTCCATAATCCCAAAAAAGTTTCAGCAGCAGTCTCTCTTTTTGTGTTATTTTGGCAAAAAGCTGAACCAGACTCAAAACTATTCCCGACTTTCGTCCTCTGGTGTCCTTTAAAAGTCTCTCTCTTTCTCCAAACGTCCGTGGTTTCACTCCACAAATGTTGTTTTAGTCACACCTCTTCAGCAACAGCCATATCAACTGGGATGGGAGGAGATACGGAGCAGAGCAGCGTTCCTCACACACTGAAGCAGACAAACGAGAAAGACCAGTGAGGTGAGATAATTACGCATTGACAGTGACTCTCCCTATCTCTGTCTCTGCCCATCTTTCTGTTTGCCCTTCCTTCCTTCCCATTTCCCTTCCTGGATCTCTAGCTCCACACATGTGCACACTCCCGCTTTCTTCCCACCATGCATGACCCTTGAGTTGTAATTACAGGGCATTTTTAGTGAGCTGCTGCTATTTATATCTTCAGAATGAAATAAATAAGAAAATGCAAGCTTGACCTTTGGACTTTCCCTTTTGAAACAAACTGTTTTGACTTTTCTGTGAACCTAAAATATAAAAAGCAGGCCTGTACTTTCATTGTAGGAACAAAGTGTAATAGTTTGAGTGGAATCCCATATGATATACTCTGAGTTGTGTTGTTGTGTTTTTCCATTATTGAATTCTCCATTTAAATAATTATTGATTATATTACGAAAGAACAGATATGCATAATAATAATAATATTAATAATAATATTAAAGGATCCTTTTTTAGTTAGGCCTACCTGACTAAATCATAATGTATTTCTTACTCTTATTATTATACTATATTTACATTTCAGGTGTAAGTAAAATACAAACAATATTGTTAATGTTTTATTTTGTTATAATAATATTATTGTTCTGCAAAGTACCTCTACATATAACTAAATATGTCAGATAAATGTCTGTAATGTAATGTAAAAATGATTTAGTCTGGTAGAAGTTGGCCTACCTAAGAAAGATGCCTTACTATTATTATTATTATTAATAATAATAATTGGAGGCGTGGGGCGCAGTGGAATAGTGCGCTGGTGTTCGGATCAAGGGGTCACAAATTCCCCTGTGGGGATTGCCCACAGTATTGAGTATGTAAGTCGCTTTGGATAAAAGCGTCTAACAAGTAACATGTAATGTAATGTAATGTTAATTCAATTCAATTATTATTATTATTTATTATCAATTTATCAATGATCAATTTTCATGCGCATGCACATTGCGCATGCGCCAAGTCAACCACGCTCCTGAGTTTCAGACTCTCTGATTGGTCAACCGCCAGGAAGTGGGTAATGGCGGCGTAAACAACCCACAGATCTGTGCAGGATTGTCAAACCGCGGCTGAAAGTAAAAAATAAAGCTACAACTAAACGGAATATGTTTTCGGCACTACCAGGATTACTACTCTGTGTGCAAACCAATAAACCCTCGTTAAGTGAGTACTTGGTGGTGTTTCGGCTAACTTTTAGCCAACTCTGCTAACTAAACAGAAAAGCCTGGTTTGCAGAGATGGACTGCGTCGTGACGGGAGGCAACGTCAAAGGTACCACACAATTTGAACCATAGCTAGAGTATTACTACAGGACGCCAGGTTGCTGTTTATAGTAATATATATGTGTTGTGTGTGTGTGTGTGTGTGTGTGTGTGTGTGTGTGTGTGTGTGTGTGTGTGTGTGTGTGTGTGTGTGTGTGTGTGTGTACCGTCCAGTGCTGGCCAAAGCCATCCACTCTCTGTCCAGGATCGGTGATGAGCTCTATGTGGAGCCTCAGGAAGATGGGGTGAGCTGCTCTGATAAACTGTCTTATACAACAACACTTCCTCCTTACATGCAGCTTCCTGTTGGTACACTGTTTGCGTCGATGACTGGTGATGATTTGTTTTTTTCTCTTGTAGCTGGCTCTGCGGTCTGTGAACTCTTCTCGGTCGGCATATGCTTGCTTCCTGTTCGCACCACTCTTCTTCAGCAGGTGCAGACTGTGTGTGTGTGTTTGTGTGTGTGTGAGAGAGTTAACACATGTGTGAGTGTCGTTAAAAGGAGCTTTAAACCTCCCATTTCTTGTGCAGGTATACCATCCCCATTGGGCTCGCCTTCCGCTGCAAGATGGCAATTAAGGTGTGGTGTGAGAAAGAGATGACCTTACTTTCATGAAATGCTTTTAGTCACCAATTCAGTGATTCCCGCACTTCTTTTGTATGACATACACCTCTTAAAAGCCCTTTCAAATGAGCGTAGCTTAGTAATATTGGCATAGAAAAAAAAGCATTCATAATATTAACACAGACATAGTGATCCTGGATGAGTCAATGTTTAGTCCTGGTCTAGGTTTGCCTATGGTTGGGAATCACTGATCTCATTACACGAATCAGATCTGAGCCAGCTCAAAGATTAAACCAGTGGTTCTCAAACTTTTTCTGTCAGGCCCCCCCTTTGGAGAAAAAAAAAAGTCGGGCCCCCCCAACACAAATAGTCAGGCTCAGTGGCGGCGCCAGAGAAGATTAAACAAATACCCCCCCCCCCTGTCAGTGATGCTTCAGAATGTTAGAATGTGTCAGATGTACCGTCCCTCTCGCTGCTGCTTTGTTTGTTTCCCATTCACACAGCCAGGTTTTACACCAGATATTTTTTCAGTGCACAAATGTAAACATTTAGCCAGGCGACCATGAGGACATATTCACTGATATTGACAAAACGTGGTTAGAATAAGAATTGCAGACTGTATCTTCTATACAATTAGAGTTTCCTTTCTGGGCTTGGCTACCAACACTATCTTCCCTGTCTACTTGATAATTAGGTATAGCCAGTTTTACATGGCAGTAATTGTTATAAAATACAATTATGAATATGAGCTTATTTGGGTTAATAGCAGAATATTCCTGTGCATATGAACATAAGCAAGCATCCTGTCCCCTTGTTTATATACGTGTTTCCCCTTCTTATGTTCATCTGTGTGAGTCAGAGTGTGCAGGCCGTATTCAGGTCTATTGCCACGTTGGAGAAGACCGTGGAAAAGTGTCACATTGAGCTGGACGAGCAGAACAACCTCCTCACCTTCACCCTGCACTGCAAACACGGTATCTGCTTCCACTACAGTGACTCACATTGTTCTACGTGGACGATTCCAAAGGGATTACATCTGATTTATACTGACACATATTTTACTCAGCATAGCACCTCATGCATTCATCAGATAGTATTCGACGTGCTTGTGTACTTGACGTGTTTGTGTTGGTATTTTCTCTGCAGGCCTCGTGAAGACACATAACCTGTCTTTCCAGGACAGTGAAAGCTTACAGGCAGTGTTCGATAAAGACAGCTACTCCAATGTATTCAGATCCCATCCCAGGTCTGTCAAATCTCCTTTTTTTTCTTATTCAAAATAACAGACATCACATTTTCATGTTTACGTATGCCTCGAGCCCCTTTGTGATGTTTACATTTCCTCTTGTCTTGTTATATCGCAATAAAGTGAACTAATGTTGCTGTCAAAGAAGAACCTGCATTAAGACACATGTTGACTCACCACATTAGAAAACGGTTACATTGACCCAGCCCTACCAATAGCACCTTTCTTTGCCTCCCTTCTTCTTTTTTGTTCCTGATCCACTGCTCACTCGTTGTCGTCCCTTGCTCTCAGGCTGCTGGTGGACGCAGTCGTGCACTTTCCCCCGTCTCTGGAAGAAGTGACCGTGTCAGTTAGTGATGATCGAATGTGGGTCAAAAACCATGTGGAGGACGAAACAGGTGAATACTTTTTCACCCAAAGGTTACAGATGCACTTAAATAACTGAATACAACTCGTCAACTGTGTTTTACAAAGTCACAACACACTGTTTATTTATACTTCTCTTTGTAACCTTACATAGGCACTGTATGTTTGAAGTGATGAGTACGAGTTTCAATTGGTGTTTTCAGTGAATACTACAATAAAAAAACACTTGAGATGATACAAGAATGATAGAAAATAAACATAGCTTGATATTGTATACTAACCCACAGCCCCAATCTGTCATTGTGTCTTTAAGGTTGCTATAAATTAAATGCAACAAATATATTTAAGCCAGTAGTGCCCTCCTGTGGTAGAAAGGCAGAACAGCAGTATTACAGTGTGTGGTCTGTTATGAGCCATTCAACTCTGCAACATTACAGCTTCAATGAACTCCTGTCTTTCTTTATGTTTCTCTTTTTGCCCGTTTCCCTCCCAGACCGGTCCAAGGCCATGCTGACGGAGCTGTGTCTGGCTTCAGACGAGTTTGAGCATTTTTCCGTCCAAGTTCAAAACAGCGTCACCTTTTGTCTAAAGGAGTTACGGGTGAGACAAATGGAGGAGTGATGGAGTAACGGAATAGGAGAATTAGTCAGAAGGGCGAATATTACTTCATTTTTCAGAGTGGAAAAGTTGCAGAGGGCAATTCTTACATTTATTTAGCTGACTCTTCTATCCTAAGCAAACTACAATAGGTTCCTTTAGCCATGTGGATACGCCAGGAATACAAAATATGATTATTTTTTCTTTTAAAATAAAAACTTATTGCATTGATGTTTTTTAATCCAGATTTTCTAAGTGAGTTTTTTTTCATCTTTCCTCCAGGGTTTGTTAGTGTTTGCAGAGTCAACTGGTCTCCCAATTTCTATGTACTTTGATGAACCTGGCAGGTAAACAAACTTGCACACATATGTTCATTAATCCTTTGTGTAACTCCAAAGTACTTACAATTGCTTTTTGTGTGTGTCAGCCCTGTAGTGCTTTCGGTAACAGACAGTGTCCTGGAGGGGAATTTTGTGCTGGCAACGCTTTCTGATGACTCCAACCTACGTAAAAACAACACTAAACGGTAATGCTGAAACTAAATTAGTGCTTAAAAAACAGTGGTGAAAACTCTTTACTAGACTGCAATTTTCAAAGGCAGAACTAATTAAAAATCCAACTGTGTTGCCATTTGGTTCTTACGGCTGAGGGGAATTGCCAGCATTTACTCTGCAGAGATGCCACAACAACTGTTTCAAGAGATGCCTTACTTTGGTATCAAAGTCAGCTGACTCAAATCTGCAGACAACAAATAGTAGAGTCTAATAAAAGTCTCAATGAAATGCCGAAAAAAGCTATGTTGTCTTCAAAATGTATAATAAGATGAAATCCAACAAGAAACAGGAGCCATCAATGTAGCATGTGTAATGCATTTGGACATGAGTGAGAGGAATGTTAACACTTGTTTCCCTGGCCATTAATGCAGCACAGTTTAGTAATATACTCATACCGTTTTGTGTTGGTCTTGGGTTTACCAGAGATCTGCCCATGAGTTTCTTAACAATAGGTCATTCAGCATGAAAATAAATAAAATAAATGACTCATCCTACCAGAAACCTACAATAAATGGTTATCAAATAAGACCACATTTACCAATTGGTATACAAATAGTCAAAGAGGGAGCAGCCTCTTAGTTTGAGATATAGAAATCTCACACTGGGCTGATTGGCATTTTCATGTTTCTTGGCAATTTAAAGCCTCTTCTGCAACATACATTTCTCTTACTGGGTAAGAGGGACATAACTTGTAGAACCCCCATGTTCTTATATGCAAGATAAAAACATTAGATTTTCTAAATGTCTAAAGAAGCAATTGGATAAAAAGTGAAACCTTAATCTTCACACTACAGTAACAAGATCATAAGATATACTCTCTTCAGTCATGACTACTATGACCTTGCATCTCAGTGTGCTGAATGTCAGAATGAATCCAGGGAGAGGCGTACCTCTCACTTCCTCATTCATGGCATATTTCCCTCCATTGTGTCTCCTCAGAGCGTGCACACCTCCACCGCCTCCTGATGACTTCATGAATGACGACATGGACTCCTACCTCATCGCCATGGATACCAGTGTAATGCCAGGTCCCTCAGCTTCACGTCCACCCTCACCCCCGTTAACTAATTCCACAAGTTTAAAACAGACTGCCGCAGCCAATCACAGGACAAGGCCTCCCAGTGAGGAAGAGGAGGAGGAAGAAGAAGAAGAAGCAGTCGATTCAAGCGGACCCCCAAACAAGAAGGTATAGTTTGGTTTTCAAATGAATACATTAACTATTAGGCTCACAATCAAATGGCTGGTAGATAAATGTATAAGCAGGGTCCTTACAAAGTCATGAAGAGTTTGGAAAGTGCTTGATTTAAAATGTTTTTTTTAAGGTTAAGAATATGAGTTTCAAATATAATCCTTAAAAATACTTGCTCTTCAACATTATGTGATGTTTTTATCTGGACAAGTCTTTGACATGAAACGATCCCACCGTCATACTTTATCATATCATGATCAAAACAGTGGTTGAAATAAACAGTGTCCAAATACATTGATTGCTGTGGATACAAAGGAATTCAGTCAACTTCTTGTTTTTTTTTTGTAACATAAATTACATTTATTGGAAAAATCGTTGTATCCTAACGTCTTTGTTTACTAAGATAATTTGGAAATACATGTTTTAAGCTACTTTAAAATTGTTTAAATGCTACTCCTAGAAGCTGTTTAAAGCCTGTTTCCTGTCACATTACATTACAGTTCACTTATAAATAATATTCATCACTTTTTTTCCTCTTGTAGTTCTGTTCCTTGTTCTTCGGCTCGGTTCTTCCCCCCTCCTCTCAGATGACCACTCAGCCGCTGACAGGTCAGGAAGTGTTGGCCAGTGACAGTGAGGACGACGTACAATAGAGCCACACTGGACCGATGGAAAAGAGACGAAGAGGAAAGAGACAGACTTTTCATTTAACCCACAAACCACCTGCAGCGCTTGAAATGAAACGGAAACCATGAACCTTTATTTGCTATTTCCTCTGACCCGTACAAGAGCTCTACTTGGATTTCTTTTGTGCAAAAATATGGAAAGACTAACGGACTGTAACGTTAATGGTGGACTTCAAATTAGAGGATTATGTGACAATGAACATGAAGCACTTCTCAGTTTCGTTTTTTTCATCCAATGTCTGTTCTGTTTGTGATCAAAGTGCAACAAAGAGGTCCTCTAAATAAAAGAATCATATTTTTGAAGTATGTTTACAATATTTATTTACATGTCAAAAGGTTCAAGTATAAGAAAGATGATCTCCAAAGAAAGAGGATTTCTGAAGCACTCAGAAATCTTGCCTCCAGATCCAGTTAAGATTTGTTTTGTCAGAAGTAAGACTCAGCGTAAGAAACAGAATGTCTATGAGTCTGTGATCCAGTGTTTGCAGGTTGCGTCACCTCACTACTCTTTTTCTCTTTTTGCACCTGGAAACCTTTCCTCTTCTCTCGCTCTCTCTCCTTCGCCATCTCCTTCTCTCTCTTCTTCCTCGACCTCTCCTCGTCTTTCTCCCTTCTCTCTTGCTCCCTCCGCCTCCTCCTCCTCTCCCTGGAGCTCAGTTGACCCTCCTCTTCTTCCTCTACAGGTGTCTCCAGCCCTGCTCCGTCACTGAAGTCCTGGATCAAGATTTTGGGGACTTGCAGTTTGGGTGCCTTTTTTGGCTGCTCTCCTCTCAGTCTGCGGAAGAGACCAAAGCGTTTAGGGGGGTCGGGCAGCGGCTGTACCACTGCCCTCTCAGTCGCTGCAGACAGAGTATTTTGGGTTGTGTTTGCAGCACTGTCTTTTGCTTCTGGTTTACGAGGAGTAAGCTTTGATTGGCTTGTTTTCTCTGGCATGATGAAGAGGTCTTCAGAGAGCCTTCGGGCTAACCTGGGACCTCGAGAACTCGACGCCTTGCGGACGCACAAATCCCCAGAAGTATTGCTGCTGCGATTCCCCGAGGCTTCTGTCCCGCCACTATTACCCGGCTCAGTCTGCTCTTTCACGGGGTGACAATCGCGGACTTGTGAGATGCTCTTGATATTAGAACGGTCTATAGGTTTAGTCGAAAGGAAGACGTCGTCCTCTCCTACAGTGTTTTCATGGACAGATTCTGGACTTCCTTCCTGCTCCACGGCGCCTATAGCGACCTGGATCTCTGGCTGTTCAGGTTCCTCTGAGGGACTAGTTTCTTCTGGACTTCCTTCCTCCTCCACGGCGCCCATAGCGACCTGGATCTCTGGCTGTTCAGGTTCCTCTTCTGGACTAGTTTCTTCTGGACTTCCTTCCTCCTCCACGGGACCCATAGCGACCTGGATCTCTGGCTGTTCAGGTGCAGGTTCCTCTGAGGGACTCGTTTCTTCTGGACTCAACTTCCAATCAGGCTCAACGGGGAGAGTCTCAGCCTCAAAAGGTTCTTTAGAGTCAGTAGTCTCTGTTTGTGTTTCTCCTGCTTGTGTCAGATCATTGTCAACCTGCGCCTCTGAGTTTGCCATCAAACAGCTTTCCTCTTCCTCCTGTGTACATTCTGCATCACACTCTTTCTCCAATCCTTCACTTGACTCCATCACTATTTCGTTTGCACCTGCTATTTCTTCCTCAGTGTCTGTTTCAGCTAACACGTCAGTGCCTTCTGTTGGTTGCATGCAGTCAGGGGAACATGATATTACTGTTTCTTCTTCAGTCTTTGAATCTATGTGTTGTACTGAATCGTTTTGTACCTTTTCAGCCTCTAATCCCTGTGTGGCTGCATTTCCCTCTTGACTCTGCGCCTGTTCTTCAGTGTGTGTCTCTGTTTGGGTGTGGGACTCTTCTTGATTGTGTGTCTCTGCTAATGACTCGGTGTTGTGGTATTTCCCTTCACGTGCATCTCCCTGTGAGCTGATGTCTGTCTCTGTGATCACTTCTTGTTGTTGTGTCACTGTCTCTACTGTTGAAGCTTCATCTTCACTCTTTATCTCTGTGTCCTCCTGCATCTGGCGCTCAGATTCTGTGCTCTCCTGTGGTTTCACGTCAGCCTGAATCATCTGTTCCTCGCCTGGGTACAGACTTCCTTGCGTCTCTTCCTCTGTGATTGTATCTTCATCAGCATCTTTCTGTATCTCAGTCAGATTTTCCTCTGTATGTTCGATTTCTTCCACTGGTTTTTCTGTCTCGTCATTTGTTTCCTTCACCTCAATTTCCAGCTGCTTGCTTTCATGACTCTGCTGCTCCAGGACTTGTGAGTGGCTGTCAGAGTCCAGCTCCTCTCCCTGTTTCTGTTCAGCTGGATGAAGAATATCTTCAACAGTCTGATCTTTGGTTTGATCTGTTTCCACTGTTGTTTCTTCCATCTGTTCAGAAAACATTTCGCTCTCCTCTGTCTCTTTGATTTCTGTTTCCTCCTTTTCAGCGATTTCCACTTGTTCTTTTATGACTGTTTCTTCTACATGCTCTGTTGGCATGTTTCTGATTTCTATCTTTTCAGGCTCTTCTGGGAGTTTTTTCTGTTCAGTACTTCCTGTCAGTTTGTTTGGTTCCTCGAACACCGTGTCCTCCTCTTCCTGTACGCCCTGCACCTTTTTGAATTTGAGCTCAGCCCAGCTCCTGCAGTCCTCCTTTGCTCCCATTGAGAGATGCCTCACAACTTTGCCCCCACTTTCCCATTCACGTGTGTTCGTCTTTGCCCCTCTACCCCACCTCTTGCTAAGGAGGGCGGGAGAGAGCGAGAGAGTGGAGGCAGAGCGAGCAAGAGGGACGGACAGGTTTCCTTTCGCTCTCTCTTTCATGTCCCGCTCTTCCTCGTTCAGTCGCCCACTCGCCCACGCCATCCTGTATCCCTGGCAGCGACCTCTGGGGTCAAAAGTGGATGAGGGTCTGTCAGTCCTCCACTTTTTCAACTCCTTCTCCGTCTGCTTCTCCAGATCTCTTGCTGAGAGCTGCACCGAGCACACCTGAGGAAGTAAAGAAAACACTGGTCTCACTTTTATGTTTATTTTTTAAATTTTCGATAAGATATTGCGTCATTTTGTGTGGATATTGATACTTTCTAACACCAACATTCTTCACAGGTGTTTAGTTGGGATGAAATCAGGTGACTTACCTCTGCAATGAAAGGATCATCTTCCTCCTGGACCTCCTCCCTGACGCCCCTCAGCCTCTCCAGGGTCTCCATCTGACCCGGGCACTGCTTCCTCTGCTCGGCCCGGCCCAGCACCCGCCGCACCAGGACCACCGCCACCTGGAGCAGCACCCGCACCCCTGCTCAGAAGAGAGGAGAGGGAGGAGTTTATCACAACATATGCTTTAAATATTTACTGCACACTTTATCATTTTACATATCTTTTTTTTTATATTTTAAGAAAATATTCACAAAGCATACATAACAAAATAAACACATCTAGGTACATAGATTAACTACATAACAGATGACAAATCCGAAAAGAAATAATAAATGAATTGTGATAATACCAGAAATAGGTAGGATCATTTCACATATCACTCTTTAAATCACACACATTTCACATGTCTTGATGTGTGAAGTGTTACTAGCAGCTAATTGCATTAGTGTAAGTTGCATTGTTTTATGGATATTCTATATTGAGATGAGGTAAACATTGATACATGTTTAATATCTTTAGGATGACATTTCTTTTGTGTTGTTTTTTTACATAGCTAAGACAACAGAAACATAAAAAAACAGGCTCTGTCCAATTATCTGAGGAGACAAACGTTTGATGGTACCAGTCGCTAATCTTGTTGGAGATCCTTCATTGAAAAACAATTGAGACACATTGAAATGTACCATAAAAATAATATGATGATTATTGTGTCTAAGATATTACTATTTTGTTAACATGGCCTTACTTTCAGGACATCATTTGAGTTGTTTTGACCCATAGCAGCCTATGTGGAGGACGTACCATGGCAGAAGAAAAGGTCCCAGACTCGGAGCAGTGTGTTGAAGGGCAGGTGACGTGTAAAGAGACACATCAGCCAGTCCGTGGCGAACATGAGGGGCTCCACCCCGTGGTACTGCAGGTGTTTGTGAGCAGCTGGACACGTCCTCTTCAACACCCAGGTCAGCATGGCCGCATCAAACAGGACTCCCTCCTACAAAGGTGCACATTTAGACCGTTCAGGAATACAGATCTGAGTAATACCTGTTAGTAATTTCATGATAAGTGGATGTTTTCTTGAAAAACTATCTACAGAACGTTACAGTAGAGTAATATGTTGTGTGTGACATACATAAGTGCAGTGCCAGGGACATTATGTAATATGTACTGTGTGCATATGTGCAGGACCTCACCAGCAGAGGGCTGTAATATCCAGGCAGGTACTGATCACTGATCTGCACCAGACACCAGAAGGCCTCCTGCAGGGATCACATCAGGTGAAATGGAATATAAAATCATAATAAGTCAACATCAAATCACAATCTTTAATAAAGTATACATCATTTTGTCAAGCATCTCTGTGTGGGACAGAATGCTAAAAAGCTAGTATGTTAAAACGATCAAACTTAAATTAGTACAGACTCAATTTCTGAGAAGGGCTTTAGCTGTCCACTAAAAATAATTCCTGTTTTTTAAGATGCATGTACAAGTTCTTTGGACATAACTTAAGGGTATACTGTGTGTGTTATTGACTGTTACCTCAGCAGGCATGTTCATCAGCAGCACCGCAGCCACAGGCCCCTGAGCCTGGCAGTAACCCTCTTCTGGTTTGTGCTGAGTGTAGGCTTTCAACACCCGGAACAAACCACGCTGCCTACACACAAACACACCACAGCAATCAGCCACACAAACAATCAACGGTAAACAAAATGTTAATCTCATCATTATGTTGTTTAGATAAATTGACAAAGTAAAAATGTAGACAGGTCAACATCACTATCTAATTTCTTAACTTTGTGCAACAGAAAGACCAACAAGGAAGGACTTTAAATATGAAGTGGTAACAGCTAAGGCTGATTGAAAAATATGAATTTTCAGAAGTTAAATGCTTGTCAACAGAAACAATTAGAAGTGGGAATGTTTCTTACCCGTGTCCATCCTTGGAGAGGAACATTTCATGGAAAGGGAACTGTCGGTCCAGGTCTCTCTCGATCACATCCACCCAGCTCTGCAGAGCCGGCTGCGAGTCCAGGGTCTGCCACAGAGACATGGAGGGTTTAATTCAAACATATGTTTCCACTTCAAATGGCAAACTCATTAACCCTTGTGAGGGTGTTTAATGTTCTTGCCTGGTAGAGGTTTTCGGTTTGTTTCATCTTGTCAGTGGCTCCACACAACAGAGGCCAGCACTTAGCTCTGAGTGAGGCTGGGATGCCTTTCTGACACTGCACTTTGACCTGCAGGGATGGTGGTAACAGACACAGGAACAGCAAAAACCAGTTACTACAATCATTTTTGATCAGGGTAAATGTGCAACACATTTTCAATCATAGCAGGAAAAGGACTGGTGTGACTAATAACATGAACAATGGCTCTTAGAAAGGACACACCTTACTGGTCTTCTTCAACAAGATGCGATCCCATTGGCTGATGATATTTATCCACTTGGTCTCCCTCTGCCGGACCAACTCAGGGGGTGGGCCCACAGTCCTGACACAAAACAGTGTATAAAATAACACACCCAGTAAGTGTTTTCAACATCAGGAAGGAGCAATACTTCAAACATCTATTTAATAAGACAAGGGCATTGTTTTGCACACTATCTTATTTTCACAGATAGATTTAGCTGTGATGTTTCAAAAATAGCCTTTCATCATGCAAACGGTTTGTGACAATGAGAAGCTATTTTAAATAGGGAGTGGCTCTGCAACCAAACACACATTACATTCACCACATGCAATAAGAACGCATACATACCAAACATTAGTTTACTTTAATAACAGTCACCAGCATCATACATCAAGCCAGTAAATATTAATAATCCTTAATGTGCTCCTAAATGCTCAGAAAGAATACGTGATGTCTTATCAGATGAATGCTTAAAGTCCAAAAGGCTAAACAGCATTTTGATTAAGGTACATGCCCAAAAACTGCAGCAACCTGTATGGAAATATTCACATGGCACATAACACATGTGCATCAATACATAAATATAAACTCTCATAATAAATACTTTTTTATATATTTTTTGCAGTGTGCAGAAGTTTGTTTGCAACTTTGAAAAATATTTCCAAACACTTACTATTCACCATAAGACCTAGAGCCTTGTATGTGTCTCATTCAGTGACTGGACAGCACTAAGGCTCTCCTTAAACTGCAGGCCTTTAAGTCAGAGTGCAGAGCTGCTACTGCATGCACCTTTTTGTGTTGTCATTATAGAGAGACTGTGCACCAAAAAAACAAGACAGGAAACAGGAAAACCACACGGTAGCAGTGTGATGTCTCCATGGCAACAGGTCAGGATGTTATGAATGGGGAAAGCGTCAAGACGGCAGGTAGCAGTTTGTTCAGCTTTACTGATCCTGAAGCTACATTCTTCATCTGGTCCACTGCCAAGATGTGAAGTTTCATTGTTCAATGTATTCTTAATTAAATGAATCTGAAATATAAAACATTTTTCACTATACTTCATGTTTACTTTTTATGGTATGAACTCTTTCATATGTGGAATTTACACCTTTATACAGAACTACAATTATCAGCATTATTGTAGCCCCCCTGTAATTAAGATTAGGTCTTTTTCTACCTTTCTGATGTTCAATTGTGTTTAACTCTGACAACTGGAGATTAGGACTTCCTGCACGTCAAACTGGCTGACAGCTGGTTTTTAAAGTCAGTCATCAAAATTAATCCTTTTCCTCACCAATTAAAGTCTAACATGCTCCTGCAAAAAGAGTAGTATTTTTGTAGATGAGCATGTAAAAATGACCACTAAATATTTACATTTAGGTTTTATGCACTGGTTGCACCTTTCATGTGGCTGTCCCTCATTCATGCTCTATATAAACTTCAAATGTTACTTTCTGTATACAAATGTATTAGCAGAACATTTTTGATGTACCCTACTTATAACAAAATGTCCACAACTAAACATCAAATGTCATTTCAAATGTTTGCCTTGATTTTAAAGCTCATTAGATTCTCATAGCTGCTTCAACTGATTCCAAAGTCCGCATACAGATATTTAGTGGTGCTCCCTTAAGCCATAATGCACTAGAACAATTATGGAATAATAGGATTGGAACAGTCCCATTTAAATATTAGACTTGATGAATTTTTAGAGGACATTTAAATTTTTAATATAGCCAATATCTAGCAGGTCTTTTTTTTTTATTATAAACTAATGATCTCACTTTCTTGTTGTATAGTGCTTGAACTTGAGCATTTAACTTATTGGAGCACTATTTTGTTAGCCCAGTTGGATGTGTCTTAGATGCAGAGCCACTTCTGTCGTATAAAAGTGTTGGATTAAAATGCTGGTTGTCAGATGCTTGCTTTGTAAGAAGATTACTTAGTTTGTGAAAATCTCTTCAGCACACATCCCACGACCTCTTAAACTAATTAACCTACGATATACTTAAGGTATAGTTTCTCAGCATCCAGGGGAACAACTTGTTTTGAATGTACAACAAGTATTCCTGATAAGAGAATTAAAACAGAGAACTAGTATACAGCACAAATGTGGAAGTGCTCACCCCGCTGTGGATCCATTAGTCAGAATGAAGCCAAAGCGGTCAGTCTCAGGTTCAGGGCCGACCTCTGACCCTGCATCAGATCCAGAGCTGTCCTCTTCACTGACGTTCTTTTGACTCTTTGGACTCAGCATCTTACTGAAGAAAGAAATATCTCATAATTAATCTGACCTTATTTAGTTATCATGACTATGTGAAGCTGAAGTGGTTTTAAACTGTCTCCTACATGTGGATGTATCAAAGACGTTCAGCACAAAATCTCTGCTCTGGATAGGGTATGTCCAGGTTGTTATTCTTCGAAGAACGTGCCTTCTTGCTACACTTAAGAACATTTTACAAGCTTTACAACATCCCTTCCTTTCAAGCCACGCTTATGACTTGTTTATGGCGTTTTCTTTAGCATCAGCGTAGAGCAGTTTAGGTCTACTTCCTTGTTTCTACACAAAAACGTAACCAACACCAAGGACTGTTGTTGAGTATCAGAATATGCATTTTAAAGTACTTACCTTTTGTATTTCGGTCATGTTTATCACTCGGTAGAAGAGGTGAAGTGTGAGATCTTCCAGTGACAAGGAAGGAAAAACTTCCTCTCTCTCTCTCTCTCTGTCCCTCTCGCTCGCTCTCTGTCTCTCTCTCTTTCTGTCTCTCTCTGTCTCTCTCTTAGTCTCTCTCTCTCTCTATCTCTCTCTCTCTCTCTCTCTCTCTCTCCCTCTCTCTGTCACTCTCTCTATGCCTTTCTCTCTGAATGACTATTTCATGATGCCCCTAACCAACTTCCCCTTTGGCTATTAAAACACTAAAATTGGCTGTATATGGAATACATTATTTGTTAAGATGACATTTAAGGAAGTTATATTTAGTTTGACAAATATGATTATTCAAACATGACATCAGAGTGATAATTAAATACGCTCATATTATTATATGATTTAAAATGTGCCATCTTTACTACAATATGCTGCTCACATACTGTATAAGGGAATTTTGCAATTAATCGTGTTCAAATGTATTATAACATTTACCAAGAGTAGGCCTATTAATCGAGTATGGGAATATAACGAGGAGCACTTGAATGTAGCTTTAATAGACTACACTTGCGCAGTTCAGGGACCGCTGTCTGTCTGCTGTTGCCCACCGGTTGTTCAACTAAAACGTCACTGAGCAAAAGGTTAGTAGGCTATTATACGTGCGGACTGGTAACAGTCGACAATAAGGCTTTCGGGATAGAGACAATGTTAAGTACCTGCTAAATTGAGTAGATATTATGACATTGGAGTTGGGGGACGACGTAATTTCAGTGTAATTTCAAATCAGGGATCAATAATTGCTAGGCTAACCAACATATAACACTAGAATAGGTGGAAGTAAATTACAAAAACCTAATAAATTAAACTGCATCGACCTGTTAAGCATTTTTGCTAACGTTATTTTACTTTGTAATGAGGCGTTCATGTAGTATCGTAAATACCATACACGCGGTTTAAGTAGAGTTTTTAGGGGAAACGTTTGCCTAAGTGGATTCAAAGCAGTCGCAAAACTGATAGATAGTAGACAAGTGTGGGGGGATTCACGTGTACAGTTCGTTAATTTAATTTCACATGTGAACAAACGCTTACCAATATGTTACATTACATTGTAATTGATGCTACTTTTACCTTGTATATTGCCTGATTGCTGATTTAGCAATATGTGTAACCATTTTTTAATTGTATCTTCAAATGCTCCAAATTAAATCGTATGGAGTAAATTAGTTCCTATTCTTCCGATTATGCCGGACTCCCATGAATGTGGCACATCGTTTACATAACAGCAGGGATTTGGGGAGCCAGATTAGAGTATGCACTTTCCATTCACTACATGTGGAACATTAACTTTACATTTGAATGGGCATTTGGTTTTGAAGAGAGACTCATACATATTTTAATTACATATGATTAGAATTATATTGCTGGCAAAATCCCAATTTTTTTTTGTAAGAAACCACTTGATTTTTTTCTATACAGTCAGTGTCTAACCCATTTTGTAACAAAACAACCCCAGGGCTAAGAAAAAAAAAATGTCAACAAGGTAATCACTTATATGACGGTTTTTCTGAGATATTACTATTCAATTCAACCTACAACAACGTTCTCAAGATACTGAATACTTGTGTTTTATAAAATTGTTGTCTATAGTTTGACAATGCCACGTTTTTTGTTCTATTTGTTCACTATCCCCTTTATAGTTAAACTGTTATAAGTTCTTTTGTTTAATAAAAAAAATAAAAGTTGAATGTTCTCAGTCAGCATCCAGTCTCCTTCACTCACTCCTCCCTTGTTTCAGAGGGGAGCTTTTGTCTGGGTTGCATTAATGGAGGTCTACAACATGTTTAGTTCCTCCTGTTCAAAAATATTTCAATATTCTTTCCTCAGTCTTCTCTTCTCAGATGTCTACTGCTCAGAGTCTGCGTCTTCTCCAATGTTGCTCTAAGCCAGGTACTATACTGAACCAGGTATCAATGAAACAATAACATAACATTTGGCATCATCAACATCATTTTATCACATTTGTATTTATCTCCAGGCACCTTTGGATATGGGCCTGGTGCCATTCGCCAATTCAGTCTCAGTGTGCTGAGAGAGGGCTACAGTAAGTATTGCTACAAATCATAAGCTCAAATGTGGCAGAATAACCATTTGTGACTGATATTTGAAATTATCCAACCATTCTGTCTCCATTTATTCTCCTTGTAGAGTTCGTAAATGCTCAGGAACTGCCAACAGACATGAAGTCCATCACTGACCGGGCCGCCACCACCCTCCTGTGGACAGAACTCTTTAGAGGTACTGGGATTAATATGAAATCAATGTAGTGCATTTGGTTGAAGACTTAATGTTATTCTACATTTTTCTTATTGAAGAAGTGCTGTCACATTATCAGATTTTCCCTGCATTAATAATCATTGCCTAAATAATTCCCGATTATGAGGTTATGTGATGTCTTCAGGAAAATTAAAGAACAAAAAAACAATGTTATCAGTTGTCATCTTTAACTTTGTTTATTGTCTGTTTTTTTCTCTTTTTTGGCAAATTAAATACACTCAAAATAGAAAGGTGGAGAGAGAGTCTGGTATATTTACACAATATTATCATATGTGTAGTTTTTAATATATAAATGTTCAAATCATCAATACTGGTATATGGCGCCACCCCTAGTGTCAACCAACCATTAATTGCCTGATAAAGCTTAAAGTTTTCAACAAATGTATCAAAATACATAAATGAGTCCAACAATTGTATTAATTGTTGCACAGCACAGTCTAGCATAAGTCAGTTCAACATACACAATATGTATTAATTTAAAGTGGACCTATCATGCTATATTTGAATAATACCGTATAGTGTAGGACCATACCTATATAAGACATATTTATACTTTTTATTTTTCAAAATACCAAACAGATCATGCATTTTAGCCATTCCTCATTCGCT